AGAATTCTTCAAATCGGTCCAGTAGTTTCAGGGCCTCTTTATAGTATTCCGTCGGCCGTCTGGAGAAGTAACCTCCAACTTAAAGAAGACCGCAGTAAAATAACATTACCTTTTGGTGGTGTTGTGTTTCTGTCGGTGAGTTATGTTAGGTTAGGTTAGCCCTGAAGGCTCAACTGGGTAGGGGATTGGGTCAGGGTAGGCTATGGCGGGTGATATTTTTGATATAGCAAGCCTCTATAGGCTATGGTGCCGCTTGCCATTGGGCAGGTCATATGCTTGTTTCATCATCATCATCATCATCAACCCATGTTCATCCACTGCTGGACATAGGTCTCCCCTAATGCACGCCACTGCTCCCGATTTTGTGCTACTCTCATCCAGCCCACTCCAGCCAGCCTACGAATATCATCATCCCATCTTGTCTCAGGGCGTCCTACACTACGTTTACCGAGTCGTGGTCTCCACTTAAGAACTATGCTTGTTTGCCACTCTATTAACATAAAGAAATTGCTTTGCTGTTAAATAAGTTTGTACCCTTTACAATTGCTTCATGCCCTTATTATTAAACGTATCTAGTGAAGCAGTGGTTTGTACGCATCCATCACTTTTATCATTCATAGTGTCTGGGACACTTCGCTTCGGTGCAGAGCTGTAGTGTAGGTAGTCTATTGTTTTTGTTTTCAGGCTTTGTATTATTTTTATATATATAATTCTTCTGTGAGTGTGTATGTCACTGAACTTCTCTTAAACGACTGGACCGATTTTGATGAAATTTTTTGTGTGTGTTCAAGGGGATCTGAGAATGGTTTAGATTCACAATTTTGTCCGCTGGACAACCCCTATTTTTTTAGGGCGGTTCGAAGTTCGCTGGGTCAGCTAGTACACAATAAATTTCTTTATTAAATTATAAATGTTCCATGAAAATTTATTAACTGATAGTGAAAATTTTGTTGCTTACTTTAGGACCCGTTGTACCGAATGCATCATTTTTTCGATTGAAATCTCAGGAACTGATGATTCGATTTGTTTTTTTTATTTTATTTATTAAGGTAAACAAACAATGACACAATACATTTTAAATAATTAGTACATAATACTATAAGTAACTATAATAAATTTTGTGTTAGATAGTACATTTATTGAGGAAGGTTTGAGGCTATATAATATCACGCTGCGGCCAGTAGGAACGGATTATCAATGTAAAATGTTCAAAAAACGGGTAAAAATATTCCATTTGTGAGCTTCGCTGCGTGCGCTGTGTAAATGATTAAAGTTACACAAAAATCATGCATGGCGGAATTGTTCCTCATTAAAAGTTGTATAAAAAATTCCGCGACATCATATGCCCATCTTTTAAGTTTGACTCACTATAGCCTTTTTCCTCAAATTAACGCGGTTGAAACCGCAGGACCTTTAGTTGTGACATAACTGTAATAGTTAGACACACGGTATCGTGATATTTTTTGTAGATATTGATGTCCTCTATAAAACTTTAGTACATCACTTTGCTTGACTGTCAATAAATTCCACAGCGTAAGCGATATAAGGTTATTTTTATCACACCCTGGGTTACGTTATCGAAGTTTTCATACGAAACCCTAACTTTTTTGTAAATACTCTATAGCCTATGTTCATCAAGGATAATGTAGGATCCTAAACGTCAAAGAATTTTTCAAATTGGTCCAGTAGTTCGGAGTCTATTCAATACAAACAACAAACAGTCAAATCTTTCCTCTTTATAATATTATTATATTACTAGCTGTAACCCGCGGCTACGCTCGCGTGGTTTTTTTTATTTGAGGCTATCATCCTCTTTTGACATAGTGAGTAAAAAAGTAGCTAATTTCTATTAAAATTACGGCGCTTTTCTGCTTGAAGCCGTACATATAAATCTCTGCGCACCTGTGCTTGTTTAGGTGTTTCGAATGACCTCAAAAAAGCTTGTCGTTCTGCTTGCTTATCAAGTCTTTGCTGAGTTTCAGCAGGTGTTTCTGCAGCTCTTAAAGCAGTTTGTTGCCCCGCTTGTTCAAGTAGTATTTGTTGAGACTGAACATCCGATTCAGCGGCTCTCAAATGATCCTGCCGCTCTGTCTGCTCCTGAAGTCTTCTCTGTGTCTGCGACAGTGATTCTAAGGCCCTCAAATTCGCTTGACGTTCAGACTGTTCAAGACGCCTTTCCTGTGTCTGCGATTGAGATTCTGAGGCTCTCAAAGCAGTTTGGCGATCTGCCTGTTCTTGCCTTCTCAGTTCAATTTCTTCAAGAGATTCTTGCGACCTAGTTAATCTCTTTGCTCGTGCTTGAGAAGATACTCTATAAAGGCTAGATTTGCGTTTGCGCGTCATTATTACGGTGAAGGTATCTGATTTTTTTTTTATTAAAAAAAATTACCTATTTTAGTTACAACAGTATAAAAATGTTTTGTAAGCACCTACTCAACTTGTTTATAGTAGGTAGGTATTTAAAATCCAAAAAAATTGCGAATAATTATCCATTCACCTATTTTCACAAAAACCCAAGATCAATGTGTTAAGTTAATCGTCAAAACGATTGCTTTTTAATATTCCTTTTTTTTAATTTAATTATTTTTATTTTACTATTATTATAAAATAATAATAATAAAATAGGCTAGGGCTATTATTATTATTTTAGGGTAGGGACATCTTTTCAGTTTCACACGCAACAGCTTGGTTTTCGAATTGTTATTCGAGTTGGTAGCGCCTACCTCTACTCAACATCCAGGATCAATCTTCACTTGAAAATTATTGGATAATACTCGATTAAGGGACTAAAATAAATCATAACAGCTGTTTATTTAGTATCTGTCTACTGTAAACAGCTAATTATTTAATATCTATTTGATGTTTATAAGATTTTCTGGTAAGATATTAGGACACTGAAGGAAGTCGGTTTTTTTTACTAATATTGTTTTAATTAAAATATCTACCTACATCACGTTAAAATTAACAGTAAATATTAAAAAGTCATGTTCATAAATAGCGCGATCTGAAAAAACGCAATATCACAACTCACATTTTTAGCAATTAAAAATACTCATTTTAAAGACGGGTGGTGCCATCTGCTAAGTTACTCAGAAAATATTATTTCCAGAGAGACTACTCGGTTGAGTTGGTATTCGAGATAGTAACGCCATCTCTTATTATTATAAGCAACACCCAGAATCTATAATCACTCGAAAATGATTTTTTTTTTTATAAATTTAGAGTAGTATTTGCTAGATTTAATTTTAAAAATGAGATTAGAAAGAAATTGCGTAAAATTACCTCGATTTAATAAATGAAACACTAACACAAAATACTCGGTATTGAACACGAGTGGTGCCATCTCGTATTAAGATAGCAACTTCCATATTTCAAATTTAATCTGTCTTCGTGACAGTAGCGCCATCTCTATCGGGACCAACCATGAAAATGATTAATTTAGTTGAAAATTATGTAAATTCGAATACATAAATTAAAAAAAAGTAGCCTATAGCAGTCTCATAAGTTCAAGCTATACATATACCAAATTTCCTCACAATCGGTTCAGCGGTTTAGGCGTGAAGAGAAGACAAACAAACAAACAAACAAACACACTTTCCCATTTATAATATTAGTATGGATTAGTATAGATATAAAATGGTAATAGAAATAATGCAAAGTAGTAATTCACCGGTACCTTAAATGTATTATTTCAGTCGTTCGCTTGGCATCAACATTAAAAAAGCAATTTACGTGAAACCACAGAGCATTATTGTACAGGAATACATATCTGTAGGTACGCGTTGACTGTTGACCTACTTCGTCAGAGCCACTCAGGGGCACAATGTCTGTTTCCTTAAATGTACTATTCTCAATATGTGTGCTTTCATATAATGCCTGCATTCCTATAATATCTACATTTTCGGAATGTATCTTTCCTTATAATGTCTCTTTCTTGAAATGGGTATTTTCCCAAAATGTGTGCATTCTTCTAATGTATGCATTCTTATAATGTCTGCATTCTTAAATGTCTGCATTCTTAAATGTCTCCAAAAATCCTTGAATTTCCTTCGTGAATCCGAAGGAACTATATTTTTATATAATTATCGGAGAAGTCCCTTTAAAATTGGCCCGAGGTGGTAGTACTACTGAGAATAACTTAATGGATTAATCTTATATAACAAACACTTTGAGAAACAACTATTTCAAGTAAGAAAAACATATAGGAAACGAAAACTGAGAATAGCACACATTTTAGGAAACAGACATTGTACGCCTGAGCGGTCAATTTTTCCGTAACGTGTTTTAAATAAGGTTTTGTTTGTGTTACTTTAAAAGTTATTTTATAAGTACATATTTTTATGCAGTACAATGTGATAAAATAAAATTTCATGTTTATCTCTAATTGCTGTTAACTGTTAATAAAATAAATTTGAATTCATAACTGTACTAATTCATATTTTTTCTGTACTTACGTATACAAATTCATGTCACTAAGTTCTCCCTGAGAACTGAGATGAATCTAGGATTTTTGCCAGGGTTTTACAAACGCGTGCTACTTTAAAATATATTATTTGACGGACTTGTTTTGTTTAGAACGTCCAAATTCATGACTATGGAGTTTTACTTTAATGTAGTATCGCAAAGAAAATCACTGTATTATATAGGCGCAGCACACACCGGGAGAGACGCGGCGAAGATACTGAGAAGTTAACAATTTAAATTAAACCTTAATAATAACATCATAAATTTATAAACGGCCCTCGTCGCCGCTTCGCAGCGCTGTGCCCGCTTGTTTCGTTTCATGTTTGTCTTACAATTTTTAACTTTGGCTATAGGAATTTTATAGGGTTTAACATAGATAAATGATTGGTCTCGCTTCAAGCGAGTTTATGGGGTTTAATTTAAATTGTTCACTTCTCAGTATCTTCGCCGGGCCTCTCCCGGTCTGCGGGCAAAATTAAAAATCAAAGTTTAGAAAAGAATAGGAAATAAACTAAGGAATGATTTTCTTTTGTTTCAGATTCAGATAATCAGCGATCAAATTTTCACGCAGTGCACGGATCCCGCTGGTGTAGAGTGAAGTAATAACGGTGAACGCGACCTTAGGTGTTTGAGCGAGTGGCAGGTGTCACGGGATCGGGGACCATGAGTAAGGGAGGCGGCGGAGGATAGCATGACAGCGCCTGCCACGGCGGCCTGATGGCGCTAGTGCGCCGCATACTAGGCGACGCCCAGGTAAGCATTAAGAGAACCCCCTCAGGTACGAGCGGTCTAGAGGCTCCAGACGGAGAGGAGACTCCCCCCGTGGAGAGATGCCATCCACCTGGAATACCTCTAGAATCACTCGCCAATTCTCGGCTTGAGGTCGCCTAAGGATCTCGCCGTCCCCAAGCCCAGTAACGCTGTAAAGGTGATCAGGCCCCATAGAGACAGCATATACACTCAAAAAAAAAAACTAAGAGAACGCATTTAACTTTTAAGTTTGACTAAAGTCGATTCTGTCACTATCTTTGCAATAGCAATAGATTGAGACAGCATGTGACTAAAGTTAATTTGTTTTTGAGTACAGCTGTTAGTGATGTTTTGTACTGCCATGACAATTAATTACAGGTGGGAGTACCTGAATCTATTTGGATCAGGGAGCTTATTGTTTAACGTTATCGCTGTCATTATCCCTTTTAATGCCAAAAGAAGAGTGTCAGTGCTACATACAAGATACTTTTCTTTGGGCCAAACAAAACATATCTCTTTGCTATCTATGACATGAAGGGATGATAGAAAGCGCAAGTTTGTGACCAAGCTGTTAACGAGACGATTTCTACCCGGGTCTAGACATGGTTTTAAACCGTGTTTACGTCCGATCGTTACTTAAGTATTAGACACTATGGAGGTGTGTTCACGACAACGGCGCTAGAAACAGTTTGGGGTCGGCACAAACAAGGCACAAACCGAGCTCGTGAAAAAGCTTTACTTGGGTAGAAATCGTGCCTAGAGCCGGTGGAAAACCGGTTGTTAGCAAGCTCCACCCGGTCATTATGATTTATCTTTAGTTTTACAATTGTGTTCCTCTATTTTATAGCTTTAACAATATCCTATAAGATGCTTAGCGGCCAACTTAAAAAAACGCCAAAGAACTTTTTTGCTATAGCAATATAATATGTAAAACAAACTTTAACAAGTATCTAATTTAGTTACTTTCTCTAAATGAGGACATAAAACTCATTTTCTTTTTGTATTCTCTGTAAGACACTCTTAAATTCCTCTTTTGTATAAAGTTGAATGTTTGAAGGAATCAACTAGCTAATATAATTTTGCATGAGGAATCAACTAGCTAATATAATTTTCAGTTTCACGGGACGTTGAGGCTAAATATATCGCAGCACTATCGGGGACAACAACCCCTGCATGCATGATTAGTACTTTCAAGCCTTTTAACCCCTCTGTAACGTGTCATTCGTGCGATTGAGTCACGCGATAAAGTGACACCCGTTTGATGTTAAGCTCTTGTTGATAAATAATCCTAGCATACAATGTTTGCACTCAGAAATCCTTGCATACAACTTATACTCAACAAAAATTTAGACAAAAAGCTAATAAAGTGATTAATCATTTCTTGAAATACGTTTTAAAATTATGTTTCGTCATTGAAATTGGTAAAGATCTAATAATAAATAAAAAAAGATCACTCATTTTAGTGGTATAACATTCATTTCTTTATAAAGTTAAGTATCTTAAAAAATATATTCGAGTAAAATAGTACTTTATTTTGTATTAGCGACCGCCCGCGACTTAAGTTAAGTTAAGTTTAGTACTTTGAGATTCTCTCGAGAACCCAAAATTTTTTTCCGGTATAAAAGCCTTATCCTATGTCTCAATCCAGTTAATAAACTATACGTGTGCCATATCTTACCAAATTCGTTCAGCTGTTTTTGCGTGATTGAGCTGCAAACAATACGAACATATATATAATAACAAACTTTCACGTTTTTATTATTTGTAGGATATATTTTAGAGTATTATGTACCTGTATTTATGAAATGGTCCAATATCTAACAAAGATATTTTTATAATCAAAATCAACGTCCCAAAGCATTAAATAAAAATGATTACATTAGGGGAGCGATCATAAATGCCACATTAACACAACTTACTTTAAGCGTCAGTATTGGGTTCAATGTACGACGGTTAAAAATATCGGAAACTCAGATTAATAGCTGATGATAAGGCATTATACTAATAATAATGATCGCGCTCAGAGATATCAATAAACTTTGAGTTTGCATAAAGATTTACAGTGCTGTCATTTCCTTTGCAATAAAAATGGATTAATAAAGAAAATAAAAAAGAAATTGTGGTTTTATGAAACCACGATGCAAGTGAAACTTTTAAAATAATTATTAAAAAAATAATCCTTTCTTGGTTGGGATGCGCCCCTCTGCCACCCGCGTTTTCTAGCACTAACCGATGCTTGTTGATAAAATCAGATTTTTAATATGCAATGAAAAATTAGAAAAATATGAAAAAATGTTTATTACTGCCATAAAGCGTGTTACAATAATAGAGGTTGGATTCCCCTTTTAAGTGTCAGGGAAAGCCATTCTCCTATAGCTTGAAGTAGTTATATAAAATACAGCCAGTGCAGTATTAAATAAGTACATACAAAATTTCTTATGTTTTTTTTACTACAAATAATGCGTACATGCAAACTGTTAGTCAAATTCAGTGTGAAAAAGTTAAAACTACTTAGTTATCAAACTTTCAGCTTCCTCATAACTAAGAGTTGTCAGCCAATTGGTAAGCAGTTGCTTGGTCTCAAAAATTGTCTTTTTGTATATGTTCAGAATCTTGTTTACGGAGTTATAAAAGTGAGATGATGGATTTTTGTACTGGTAATTTGTAAAATGCGTTTTACATACTGGGATGCAATAGGTCATGATTGATTGTGCTTATGCAATATAGATTTTTTTAAGAACGTCTAAAGAACAGGAATGTTGAAGGTTCTTAAATATCCAAATCAGCTTCCTTATTCTACTTGCTATTCAGTCAATTTAGGAGTGCTAGGAGAGTGTTTTATCAAACACAATTCCTAAATATCTAGTCGAGCTCACCATATTAATACCAGGAGAACTACAGTTAGTCTTATCATAACTGAGGCAATTATGAATTTTAAGATTATAATCACAATGTGGTTACAATTAGTATTAAAACACATGAAGTTGGTTTTTAGGGTATTTAGTGTCAGTAAGTTAAGCCAAAGTCCAATAATAGCAAGTGCCGATTATGCATCCTTTTTTATGGAATCCCATGATTTTCCTGTTATCACTATGGCAGTGTCGTTAGCATAGGAAATGTTTTCTAATTTCTGCACAAGAATAGGGACAGAGACAGTGTCAAATGTCATTTTTAGGTCTAGGTATATAGATAAGCATTTGCCTCCATTGTCCAACTGATCAGTAATCAGAGAAGTCATAGCTGTAACAGCATCCTGGGTAGATTTTCCAGTGTGAAATCCATATTGTGATTTCGATAAAATATTATATTTCTTTAGATATTCCATAAGTCGTTTGTTAATTATTTTTTCTAGTATTTTGGACAATGAAGGCAACACAGAGATTGGTCTGTAATTATTGACATCCCCTCTGTCTCCACCCTTGTGGATCGGGGTAATGATAGCTTGTACCAAAAAGGTTGGAAAAACACCCCGACTGAAGCAAGTGTTGGCTAGATAAGAGATGATAGGAATCAGAACGTGTCTAGCCAGTTTGAGAAAGCTAACTGGAATGCGGTCAAATCCAGGGACGCTATCAGTTTTTAAACTCATGAGAACTTCATGTACTTCGATGGGGCCTGTGTCCAATAGTACAGAAGACGCGAGCTGGGGTTGGCGCACATATTGGGAAATAGATAAATCCTGCTCAGTCTCCTCTCAGCAAGGGGTCAGTGGCGTGATGCTACTGGCTAGATTTTGTCCTATCCTTGCAAATAAATCATTATCAAAATTAGCTGATTCATTTGGGGTAGCTTTACTGTTTAAAATTTTTTCATTATCTGTTTTATTTCGGTTTAAGTGAGTAATCTTTTTAATATTTTTCCAAAGGTACTTAGAGTTTTTAGTTGAGTTTTCTATTAGTTGCTTTTTATAATTATTTTGTTACGGAAGTTGCGGTATCGTCTGTAGGTATACGCTGAGAACTTCATCACATGGATTAGAGCGCAACTTTTTCTGTATGTTGCTCCTATTTCTAATGCACTTTAATAGTCCTTGGGTCATCCATGGTTTGATTACCCTCTGCTTTTTAGGAATAGGCTTCTCCCGTGTATTTTCTTTTAAAGATTCAGCAATATCAGCAACAAGTTTTTCTGTTATGATTTCACAAATCATCACAAAGAAGCAGGTCGGTTGGTTTTCTACACAGAAGACTGGCAACTGCTCCGTCATAGTCCGTAAGTAATGCAAACTTCTGTGTTTTCGATCCTATATTTACGTTAGTTAGATGTAGGAAAATCATAGAGTGATCTGTAATAGAAGTATTACTACTACTACACGGGCGCACATCCTACTTTTGTCAAGCTTTAGCATTATATGGTCTAGACAACTACTATATCTTGTAGGAAGACCGTGATCACTCATAATACTATGGGTCCTCAACATGTTAAGATAATCTTGTCTATTCTTGCTCACGTAGTTTTGTTCATTTGGAATATGAATAAGATTTATGTTTATGTGTTCCACTATTATTATGCATTTATGTGATTCAATTGAATTGAGGTGAGAATTCAACGAGTCAATAAATCTTTCTGCATTAGTACTCGAGGGTGATCTGTATAAAGCCAAGGTAATTTGTGAGCTAGTCTCAATTTGCAGACATGATGCATCGTCAATGATTATTTCCGTTACATTAACCAACAAGTCATTTTTAGTATAGACAGTAACACCATCATTTTGGTTATGGTAGCGGGTACGAAAAAATACGAAACATAATTATGTAATATGGGCACAGGTTTGTTCTCATTGATCCAACATTCGGTTAAAATGACAATTAATGAGACTAAGAGAAACTGTAAGATCACCAAAGTTTTGGTATATACTCCTGATATTCTGAGATATCAGGGTGAGATCTTTGTTCTTTATGTTAATTAATTTGTGTAAATCCTCAATATCTTCAACACTCGCAGTAGGTATTTCTGAACTATCTATATCATTTAATGTGTTAAGAGCATCATGCATTAAAAAA